GGGGGGGGGGGGGGTGAGGTGCACAAGCCCGCCCCTTCGAGCAGGGCGCAGTGGAAACCCTGCCTTCCTCCCTGCATGACTCCTTCTGGAACTTCTCAGAGGCAGCAGCCTTCTGTCATTTTGGCTCCTAGCAATGCCTAGGCAGATTTAATTAAAAATCGTCACCAAAGAGCGCAAGGAAACATCCCTGCAGTCCAGTTGGATAATGGCTTGATACTTTCCTTCTATCTGCAAGTCACTTTAGCTGACACTGAAACGGACCCTCCAGAGCTTAACACCTCAACACGGGGTCTGTCATACTCTAGGCGCCCAATAAATCTTTCACCGAGAAACGGAGTGTCCACTTTGTGCAAGGAGTTGTGTCTGCTGGGGGAGGAGCGTGGGAACGACTCGGTGAAGATGACCTCGGTGTCACCCTGCTCTTAGGGAGCTCGTAGTTTAAGGAAGAATACTGCGTAATAAATCTGGCCTGCAGCACCGATTGAAAGGAAAGGAATGAAGGTTGAAGGTGTTCCAACTGGGAACTATTTGAAGACTCAGCGCTGGCAGCATTCCCTTGCCCAGGTGCCCCTCCTATATTTAGTTTGCAGTTTTCCTGAAGAGATTGCTTTACTCAGAAAGGAAAGGCCTAGTTGGATTGTTCCTTACATCAAGTGACATTCCTGGGCCTCCCTTTATGTTGATTTACTGCTTGGGGAGTACTGTATCTTACTCTGGGAAGAAAAAGACTCAGTGCCATTGTTTTACAAGTACAAGCCCTAAATCCTTTCTCCAGAGCAAAGGAAACAGACAATTTAAACAAATAATTAGAAAATGTGAAAGGGGAAAAAAAACACACCACCACCTAGTTGGGGCCCCTTTGAGTCAAAAGAAATCCACATTTAAGAACTGAAATGTTGAAATCTGCATTTGAAAGATGTCACTGTATTTTATCAGCATTCAAACCAAGTTAGTATTCCCTTGTCATCAGATAGCACCCAGGCTATTGAAATTGGAGAGCTGGCCAGATGAACTATAACTTCACAACAATAACAGAGGATTGGTTCCTTTAAAAAGAAAAAAAGGATTTCCCACATTCAGAGGCATTTGCTAGCAAACCCAGAAGGGCACCAACTAGGTTAGTGACTAATCAACACCAGTTCCCTTAATAGATAGAGGTTCTTTACACACAGCCCATAGGCTACAGAGGTTCCCGCGCATATCTCAAGCATCACTCTCACTTCAAAGTTAGTTCTGTGAAAAGAGAGCTAGAGAGCTTACCTAGGGGAGGCCATTCTTACAACAGTTTGGGCTATCTAGAGGAGAGTTGAGAGCTTAGAGTTAACACAGCTTCTCCCAGGTTACCTAACTTGTCCTATCTTGGGGAAAAAGCGGGGAAGGGGAGACACTTTCTAGCTACCAGATTCTCGAGTCCAGCATGCTAGGTTCAAATCTTCATGCCACCACTTTACAATGTGTGCTCTTCAGCTACTTGTTTTTATCTTGAAACTTGGTGGTTAGCATCTGTAAAATGGGTTGTCATGAAGATTAATAGACTAATGAATGTAAAGTGCGCAGCGTTGGACCTGGCACAAATAATTTCTCACTAGATGTTAATAATGGTCATTTGTTGTTCTTAAAATATACATGCCACAAATTTGATGCACTTTATTTACAAGAGACCCCTTTAAACTCTTACGCTGAACTTAGGTTTATTTGAAACAAAATCCTAGCATGTCATGTTATTCCAGTTCACATAAATCCGGAGCAATGTTTGCTATAGACACTGACAAGAGTACAGATTGACAACTAATGGATTGACAGTAAGGAAGGAGATGGGAAAATATGGAAGAGCAGACAAAGGACCACTGAAAAACATTGAAATGCTTAAATGCTTTGCAGCACTTAGTGCAGTAATTAATGTTCTAGAAACAGACTGAGTCATTGTGATGGTGGAGTTGGCAGAAAATGATGTGTGTGAGGGCAGAGAAATGTCATGAGCATTTTAGAAATATTTTCCTAGAGTAGAAAAAACTAAACTTTCAGTGCCAAAGGAGAAGATTTTGGTTATATGGAAATTTTCTGCATTCTTGGCAAGGCATTGTATTTCTAGTACCTTATAGTTATAATAA